CTGTGGCAAATCTGTTTCATACTGGGACCCTGGACCCTGGCTAATCAGAATAGCAAAGCTGGTGCAAATTTACAAATCATCTGTTCTTTTTTTTTTTTTTTTTTTTTACAGGGACAGGAACCAGGTCCAGAGAAGCCTTCACTGGCCTGAGGTCACTCAGCTTCCAGAACAAAGGAGCACAAGCTGAGTCACCTCTGTAACCCACGGTCCTAAGATGTGCACCTCAGACCCCCCTCCCAGAGTGAGCACCATGTCTTCTGTGAGGTCTGATTTTCCAAACAATGGCCGCTTCTGCAAGTGTTTAAGCCTGCAAAAGCCAGGGGCATGAATGAACTGAGTCATCCCCACGGAGCTTCATTAATTTTAAGGCGATTTAAGATTTCTGAGTCATAGGTTTCAGTCATTTAGACTTTCCCAGCTGGTACTGTACTTGCCCACACACACTTTTCTTTAAAGATTGCATCTGCGTCTAGATGTGTGGTTCTGCCCACTCTTCATCAGTTTCTGAGAGAAGCCAGTCCTGTGGAGTGATACAGGCAGGGCTATGCCTTTTCCCCTTGCTGTGTGCATTGTAGTCTTTGCAGGGGGGGGAGGGGGGCTAATGGGATTAGCAGTCTGCAGCTTCATCCAGACTCTATCCACCAGAGACATACACACTTCCCTATTCTACATCCAACGTGATGTATGACCCAACCTCCCAAGGAAACTCGGTGATACCATATGGTGACTCTGCAGGCTGAATAATATTTAGCAACTTGGTGAACAAGGACTGAATCATATCTTTACCATCTTGGCCAACTATTGTTTTATATAGCAACAGTATTAGTAATCTATATATGTTTTATTTTTTTACACCGGTGCTTCCTGTTACGCCCACTGAAAATTAAGAGCTAGACCTCACTGGAAGTAGACTGCACAGTAAAAGAGTTCTTGCTCATTAGCAATCTTCAACTCGGTATTGCACTGCACAGATGATACATTCAGAAAGTCTGCTTTTTCTTCTCCAGAACAGCTGCGGAGGTTGAGCAATAGTCTCCCAGGGTAATGCAGCAGGGAATCCTGGGGCATTTCCCAGACGTGGACAACAAAGGATACATATCCAAAGGGAGGTCCAGGCCTTGAGCTCTCTCCCTTCCACCAGGGAGAGATGTCCCATACTCTCAGGACATGGGGAAGGGTAATAGCAAGCCTCCAGTGTGCGGGCCCCTGTGGCTGGGTAATCTTAACACAGTCACTTTCCTTTCTGAAGCACATGCAGTCCAATTATTGACCTTGGATAAGAATGAACAACCTTTATAAACTTTTATAAATGGTACTACAGCAAGAGTTAGTTCAGTCATTGATGACGGGCAGGCACTGTTTAAGCCTTATGTATGCCACTCTGAATAAGACACAATCCACACTTTCAATGAGCAAGTGAAACTAGAAATATGCAGTGATCCTTTCCATAAAATTTGGCTTAGCTAAGATAGGACTACGCACTAGTCCTAGTCCTAGCTTTGTATACCCAAAGCTCCTGAAAGAGAGGGTGCCCAGGATGAATCTTGGCAAGAATTATGGAGGCAAGAAAGGTATTCCAACAGTTAAGAGCTTGAGCGTCAGGTAGGAGAGAATCGAATGCATTGCACAGTGTGGCAGGAAACAAGGCCATATTTATAACTAGTAAGAAATATTCGTTGTCACTACAGCATCAGCATTTTTAGAAAATCAAGAAAGGGACTCCAGGAGACTCGTCTCCCAGCAATTCCCCTCTCCCAATGCCCAGGGCAAATATTCAGCCCATCTCCATAGGAAATTGCTCACTGCGACATCCCAGACTCATAGAACTAGGAGAAAGCAGCCACCCTCCTGCATGCACTTGCCCCCTGGCATGCAAATCCCTGAAGAGAGGAACCTACTATCTTCATTCTCAGGGAAACACACATCGCCTTCCATGTCCTAGTGAAGTTCCATATGACGGCTGGGCTACCAGTGTTCGCAAAATGAATGGACATTCACACTCCTCATTTGAATACTGAGTGTCAGAGATGGAAGGGTCTTGAGTATCATCTGATCTAATGTCCTTGTTTTATGGGTGAGACAACTGAGGTCCAGTGAGCGAGAGTAGCTTGCTCACAAGGCACCTGATAAATCAGGGGCCCAGCGAGAGCAGACAGGAGTGGCCCTGAACAGCAGCCGGGGCTCTTCCCAGGACTGAATAAATTCTGAAAGCTTTAGACAAGTGTGATCCTTGTTTTCCTGATGGGTTTGCATCTTCTCAGAAGGCATATGTACCCATCCCTGTGACAAGTGTGCAGCCGGGGAGAGAGGAGGAGACGTGGTCCACGCCCTCGGCAAGCTCCCACTCACTGACACTGTGCTCAGATTAACCACAAACAGATTAGCCAGGAAAAATTAATCGTAAGCGTCATTGTCCAATGGCACTGTGCCCATCAGGAAAGGAGACCTTACCCTGGAACCGGAGATTCACTTAACCTATGTTTATCCCTATCATCTTACTATAGAAATGATTTACTCCTTTGGGTAGTACTTCCTAGAGAAATGTGCTTAGAACACCGAATAAAACAACCAGGTCACCTTGCTCCAGCTTTCTGTTACTGAATAAAACACAAACCTGATATTTAATGATATAAAACCACCACCACTTCATTCCATCATGATTTTGTGGGACAGGAATTTGGACAGATGGCAGAACTGCAGACACTCAGTGGTATTCCGTTGGCTGTTGGCCTGGTCTGGAGGGATCGAGACAGCTTCATTCTCCTGCCCGGAGCCTTGGGAAGGTTCCGTTGGAAGGCTCAGCCGCACCAGGCCCCTCTCCCTTTCCACGTAGTCTCGAGGCCTTTCCGTCTGGTTTTCCCATCAAGGGAGTTGCCTGGACTAATTGCACGGCAGCTCAGAGCCCAGAAAGCCTACAGCAGAAGCTTCCAGTGCCCTCAAAGGCAAGGCCTGGAACTAGCCATATGTCACAGCTATTGATCCAAAACAGTCCCAGACCAATCCCTATTCAAGGGGAGGGGAACAGACCCCCATCTGTAAATGGGAAGAGTGTCAAAAATTTGTGGCCATTTTTAACCTGGGCATATATATCTCTCTGCTATGTTCACTTGATGTGTATAAGAAAATCTTGGTGCTTTATGGCCCAAGTAAAAATATGGTAAGAAAGAGAAAGAAAAATCTCAGATAAGAAAACAGGGCAGTGTGGGAGATGGTTCTGCCCTTCTATCGCGAGTCCCTGCGTGCTCCACTGCACTCTGCCCCGGGCCTAGCACGGTGCTTCAAGCACAGCAGCTGATCCAGCGACAGAACCGAGCTGACAGGCAGTTGTTACTATATTTGTGGTTCTGTGAGTGAATTTCTCACACTAAATCTCCCAGGAAAGGTGCCAGGGGAATCTTATTGCAAAACTAGCAGTTTATTGGGTTGACAAAGAGAACATTCAATTAAGAAGATTTTTCAGAACACAATGGAATCATTTTAGCTGTGAAATGTGGCCTTAAAAATAATCACATCCAGGAGGCATTTGAAGACAGGACGACAGGATGCAGCTCCTTCGCTCAGGCACAGACGGAGGGTCCTGGGTGGACACAGATGTGCACAGACACAGTCGGATGTGGGCCCGTCCCTGATCTCTCTCTGCCCTGTTCCAGAGTCCAGCCTCTTTCCGCAATACCAGGCTCCTAAGAGAACGCCACTCCCAGATTGATTTATGCAGAAAGCAATGATAACAACCACCATGTGCTCGTCAGCATGCTTGCATTGTGTGCGCAGAGAAATAAAACATGGCCCTAGGTCTCACCACAGGCCTCCATGTCTTCAGAAGGGGAATTCTCTGCCTTTCCTGAGAGTCCAGGAAAACGTCTGGGTGTCTAGAGGTGGATGAAGATGCTGGGTGCAGAGAGACTGAGATGACTTATTGCCTCGCCATGAGATAGCACGCCAAGCAAAGACTCCTTGAAAAGTATCAGCAGGATGTTGACTTTCTCAGCATAAATCAACAGCTTCTAGTTTCTGTCTCTTCCTCTTAATCATAATAATTTCCACTCCAAGATTCTGATTAAACCAGGGCAGACCACCTCTGATATGGCTCCTAATGATCGCTGCCTCCTGAAACTCAGGCCCTGTGCAGTCCTCCCCTCTTGTGTCCGAAAGGGCCTGGCAGCTTGCTTCTCATGAGTCAGGTATGGCAAAGGGATGTGGAATGTCACTTCTAGGGTTAGGCTGTAAAAGACTGACTTCCCTGTGGCTTGCCCTCTCTCTGACTCTTCTTGTGTTTGCTCTAATGGCACAAGCTGCCACGCTGTGAGCTGCTCTAGGGAGAGGCTCATGTTGCTACACATGGAGGGAGGCCTCCAGCCAACATCCAGAGAGAAAATGAGAACCTCAGTCCAGCAACAGCCAAGGACTCGAGTCCTGCCAACGGCTATTTGAAGGATCTTAGGAGTAGAAGCTTGGACAGGGTGGTAGGGGTGGGGTGGGGTGGGGGGTGGATTTTTGTTATGCAGCACTAGATAACTAATACAAGTATATTAAAGGAGAAAAAAAATGCAACTAGCTCACCCTCTAGTCTAGTGCACCTTCTATTACAACATGAGATTTCTGGCCAATAAAAATCTTTCAATCAAGATCTGACCAATGAAGTCAAGTCCCGGTATTTTAGCTCAGCATTCCCATCCCCCCAGGGTCTGACAGCAGTCTTGCCTCTCATCCTTTCAGCCTCTGCTTTTAACTCAGGTTAACTGACTGCTGTTTCTTATCCCATCAGGGCTGTGACTTCTTACCTCAAGAACTTGACCCAGTCAAGTGCTTCTCTTAGAAACACCTTTTTATCTTGACTTGCTGGCATTCTGCTCAGACTTCAAGGTCAGCTCATTCACGTCCTGGCTGGAAAGATTCATTTTTTTCTCTGGAACTTTCAAACATAGTTGAGGCATATATATGTCCCCTACTGTCTGCAAAGGACTACTCTAAAAACGAAACGACAAACAAAACCTTGGCCTTTATTCCTTTATTTAATTTACAGTTTCTGACTGTAGTTTCTACAGTTGCCCGATGTACATCTTGCACACTTCAACTCCACGACAGATTCTGAGGGTGGAGATTCAGTCTTTGTAAGCTCTGCAATGTTCGCTCTAATGAAATATCCCAGAGCATGGTCCTGTCTATTACGGGCTGAATTGTGTTCCCTCAGCCACCCAGATTCATATGTTGAAGCCTCAGCTCTAGTGTGGCTGTATTTGAAGGTGGGTCTCTGAAAGAGGTAGTCAAGGTTAAATGAAGTCATGAGGGTGGGTCCCTAATCCAAGGACTGGTGTCCTTATAAGAAGAAGAGACACCAGGAGGGTGCATATGATAAGGACACAGTGAGAAGGTCGCCATCTGCAAGGCAGAGAGAAAGGACTCAGGAGAAAGCGGACACCTTGATCCCCAGCCTTCAGAACGGTGAGACAGCACACTTCTGTCATTTATGTCAGCTAGTCCGTGGCATAACCAGGTAGTCAGTATATGCAGACTCAAATACTGACTGTCTTTTAAGAAGAACTCAGCCAGGGAGGCTGAGTAGATTCATTGTGGCATGAAAGTCAGAGGCAGGGGCTCGGACTCATCTGAATTTGAAGACTTTCTTTACCTGTTCTAGTCAACAGAACAAACTCACTTTTGTCACAGCTCAGTTTTTCTTGCCTGTAAATGGAGGCCATCTTGCCTGTATTTACTCTGACCATGAAAAGGATGAGGGAGATATTGTTTGCAAAATGCTTCTCGCAAACTAAATGGAGAAAAAATTTAAATATTTCTTCTTTTCTTTTCTCCCTTCCTCTGCGGATAGAAAGGGGCCAGGCCAGCCACTGGAGCCTGATGTGAAAGGAAAAATCAGAAATACTGATTTAACAAGCCTCAAGTTTTCTGAGTACTGGCACTCAATTTGAATGGCACAAAACTTCACATTGTCCTGAGTGATAGCAATGATAAATAGACATATTTTTAATTGCCTCACTGGAAAAAAATGGTGAGATCAGTTATTTGTTTACAGGTTAGTATTTTAGTAACCAAAAGAGCATGTAAGAGCACGTTCTCTCTTGCAGGCATTTGAAAGTGAGTTGTAAGGACGTGGGTGACATATATTCTTTTCCATCTGCACTCTACCGAGAATATGGCTGTACATGCAGCTGAGTCTCTATGCCGTCTCTACAGGCTGAGCTCTGAGCCCACCTGGGGACCCGGGGCTCACACGTGGGAAAGCATCCTTCTGTAGCTCTCACCTTTGTGCTCACACATGCTTTTCTGGCTTACAACCATTATCACTGTGATCAAATGGAATTCTATGCAGGGAGCCCCAATGCAGGCATGACCCCCAAATTGTTTCAAATTTAGAATGATGTTTGGACACAGAAGAACTAGAGAGGAAAGAGAGAGAGGAGAGGAAAGGGGACAAAGAAGCGAGGACAGGGACAGGGGGAAGGCGATGGGAGGAGGAAGGGCGGTACCGTCAAATGAACGCAGGATTTGCTGTGACGGGTGGCAGTTCTGAGCCTGTGAGCGAGTCATCCAAGTCCCTAGAGACACAGTCTCTTCCGCTGAGGCCAATAAAGAAACCTCCTCCATGGGGTTCTTGTGAGGGCTAAATGGGACAAAATATATAAGAATGCTTTGTAAACAGGCAAGCCTGGTGCACATATTAATTCTTATAAACCTTAATCTGAGCAATCAGGGCTGTCCAAGGCCACATTCCTAATTGGCTGAACTGGGGCGCGAATGGAAGCAAAACTCAATGCATCATTGTTTGGCCACTGGTCTACTGGTGACCGGCTCATTTTTCCCATGCCGAAAGTTGGGCTTTAGAAGCTGGAGGGGGACGTAAGTGATCATTCAATGCAGCCTATTCCCTTTGTAGGGAAGGTATTATTATTCCCCTTCCACAAAGGGGAGTTCGTGCCATTCACAGCCCTAACGTTTGTGAGACAGATGGGTGTGGGATCTGGGGCTCTCCTTATGCCAGGCCCGGACACCCACACCAGAGTTCCCACAACACCTTGCCAACTGCATCGGTTTTTACAGTCACACGTCACTCTGTAGCACTTCCTGGACTAGCTGGTTCTCTCTTTACCTTCTGTTAGCTGCTCAGCAACTTGTAACAGGAGGGTAGACAACTTAGAGTACCCAGAAGATTCCTGTATGCTGGGGTTCCCCGCCCCTCTACTTTAAGAGCACCAACCAAATTTCCGCTATATTCACCTCACAGGTAAGCAACTGTCTTCCTGTGCAAGAAGTAGAGACACATGACCAGGGCCTGGGAAAAATTGGTTCCGACAAGCCCATTTCTTCTGTATTTACACACCGGACGTTTCCCAGGGGACCATTTATCCAAAGAGGAAAACACATCCCCTACCTGGCCACGGGAGAGCAAACAAACAAGCACCTTTTCATAGGTGGTGCCAGGAATCACCTTGTAAATAAACACTGGCCGTCCAAATGCGTGCTGTTTAAAGATGAGAACAGAAAGCACTGCAATGGGAGGGTTCCCATCAGGTGTAGAGCGGGGGGAAAAGGGTGGTTGGCTGCCGCTGGGCATGTAACTGGGAAGAGTGAGAGATGAAGCTGCCGGGCAGTACGTGCACTCCAGCCCTGCGTGCCCGTGCGCCATCCAGTCTCACGCACGGCCCCAGAGGACTGGGCTCTGCACAGCTCCAGGAGCCCCACTCACAGAGGCCTCAAAGCAAAGGGGCTGTTCTGGGGTCATGCCGTCCACAGACTGTGCATCAGCATGAGACGGCATGCTTTACAATCTGTCTGGGAAGTTGGTCACCAGTTTTTGAGCCTAGGTACGGCTTTCTGTGAGGGTTGTTCGAGAAAGACAAATGCCGTCACCTATGGCACAGATCAGCTTTTAAGTGAGGTAGTAGTTTCAGAAGTTGTTCTCCGAAGCTTTTTATTCGATCAACAAACAGTGCTGAGTTTAGGACTTCACACTTAGCAGGCACCTGTGGTATGTGTTCTAAATTAATGAACTAAAGAGCAATGAAGTGAACAAAGGAGCAGCTGAATGCACTTCAAGACAGAGAAGGACCCGGAAAGCAGGTGACTGGATTTGACTGTCCTACAGAGTGCACTGGTTTAAGTGTTTCCTTGTGCTTATCTAGTCCTCGTTTTAATTAGCACATATTTCCTCAGAGCTACATATTGTATTTAACCATTCCTACAGCTGTATGTTTAACAATTCCCACACATTTTCTTGACATGGTAGCATTTTATCTATTAGTCTTGTTGCATGTTGGATTGCTTTCTGTGGATGTATTCCAATAATAATAGTAAGTATTTATTTATAATGCGCAAGACATTATGTTGTTGCTTTCCACACATCTGCTGCAATTTTTATATGTTAGGTAAAATTTAGATTATAATTCCACTTTATAATTAAGATATTCTAAATTCACCTAAGGTCATGTAGCTAAAAAGTGAACAAATGAAGATCGCCACCCAGAGCTTCCCATGGGATGTTTTATTTTTTTAAACCTGAGCATTACTGTCAATATGCATAAATATTGAGATATCGAGGCACTTCGTATAAATGATCTAATTTATTTTGCACAGCAATAGCTTCCAAAGCTCATGAAATTGGCCTTGGAGAACTGGCAGGTCAGTGGCCACTGTATAATTTCACTGGAAGTGATAAATACACTATCAATCATGTGTAGCACACATCACTCTAAGCTTATAATTTTCTTGATCTCTCCCGGCTACTCTCTCTCTCTCTCTCTCTTTTCTTTGGAAGCCCACTGGTGCTTATGGCATATGACTTTCCCACATGACCTTTCTAAAACCTCAATCCAATTGCGCCACCTCCCATTTAATGGCGATCTTGACTCTCTCCTCTAGTACTTAGATCTGACCTGTCAGCCCCTCCCCATTCTAATCCCAGCCATGTGCCTGGCCACTGTTCCCAAACTGACGATACTGGAGCTGTGGTGAGTTACTAGAAATTTCAGAACATCCCACTGCTTTGCTTCTGCGCATTTTTTCTCCCCGGCTGAAATGCCAGAGACAATCTCTTATTCATCTCACTTTATGACTCACAGAACGTCTTCAAGACCCACAGAGACAAATATATTTTTTAAATCATTGTATCTCTACACCCAGTGTCTGGTGCACAGTTTCAATAGATATTTGGATTAATTCAAGATTAAAAAAAATAACATTTCCTGGGAAAACGCTCCCAAGTCGAAGAGAAGTTGTTTCTTTTTCTCTGCTCTCTTGATGCCCTGAAATTCCAATTGCCGCATTGTTACACAATGAGATTAAGTACGTCTTGTTTTTTCTCTGGGGCTAGACTCTGAGCTCTTGGGTGGCAGCGACTAAATCTTCTACTTGGGTCCTTAACACTTAGCACTGAGCCTGGCTTATAGTAAACCTTCATAGATTTCCTGGAATTACAAATGTAATTCTAAAGTAGTCACATGAACTCAGAAGGGTGCATATTATGCTTCTTATTTCACGGTTGAAGAAGTGGAGACACAAGGAGGGTAAGAAATACGTTGACCCAATTTGAAGTCGGAGGCACAGTCAGGGCTGGAACTGGTCTTCAGACCCTGGTTACAGAGCACTGCTGGTGGCCACTGAAGGGAACGGGCTGGGTCTTTCTGACCCAACAGCAGCAGCTGCCTTAGGGTCTGCTCGTGAGACAAGCAGGAGACCACAGATGCCTTCATGGAAGAAGACTGGATTGAGAGGGACAGATGCCTGAGTCCTAGGCAGGCTTGTCAGGAGTAGGAGGATGAGATGGGCCAGGAGGCAGGGCCCCTGTTTGACCTTCTTTTCAAACTCTGGGTCCTCCTGTGTCCTTTCTGGCCAACTTCCCAGGAACCTCTTATCACTAGAGTAACTTGTTGAGCATAATTATAAGTTACAAATATGCAGGACTGGGCATAATTATAAATAGCTGTCCTGTTTAGTCCAAAGCGTCCTGCGATGGGCAATAAATAAATGAAGTGGTCCCCCTCCCCTCACCCACTGGGAAATATGCACGCATGCGCGTAAAAACTCAGGGAGCTGGCGAGCCTTCCAAACTCCTTCCCCCCAGTCCCTTGGCTATTGTTTTTATTTTAGTTTAGTGCGTCCCCCAATCTGATTGCTTCTGATTTACCAGGATACCTTGGAGTCAGGCCGGCAGTTGCAAGCCTCTGCCTGAGTCAGGCCCTGTATTCGGTGTGTCCAAAGCAGAGAACCGGACCCTCCCGAGAAAGCTGAGAATAATTGAGGGCCGGAGGTGGAGACGCGAAACAGCAGCCCTACCCGATTCTCGGGGTATTGAATGCATTCGAGGTCCACATGTGTCCGGGTGGGGTGCACTCAGAGAGGAAGACCCTGCAGCCAGGAGCGCCCGCAGTGAGGTGTGAGTGCGGGGACTGCCCTGGAAAAGGAAGAGTGAATGATTAAATCTGGCCTGGGTCAGAAGGTGCCTTCAGCCACTCCGCTGAATAGCTGAAGCCCTGGGTCGGAGGTGCAGCGGCAGGGGGAGGGTAAGGCCAACTAAAATGAAGCAATCAAATTCTTTTTAAATGGGGATGCGGGTGTTGGGGGAAAATAATGAGACTAATTTTTGCAACCCCCCACCGCAGCCCGGATACAAACACTTTCTTCGCCAACTAGCTCCTGGCTCACTGCAACATCTGAGCAGAGGTGGCCTGACGCTCGGAGGATACCTGACTTTCTGGGGGGAAAAGCGCCGGGAAGATGAAGTGGGTATGAAGTGCACTAGTAACTGCGAGAGCTGCTAGGGGGGACACCCTTGGGTAGTTTTTGTGCCGCCGGGACCCTCCCTCGCCGCGACTTGTAACCTCACTCCACAGCCCTGGGCCGCGGAAGGATATTGCACTTTGTTTACGGATCCGGGGCCGAGCCTGGGAGCAGCGAGGCCAGCGCCCGCGCCCGGGAGCCAGCGCTGCAATGGCAGTGGCAGCCGCCCGCGCCGCCGGCGGGAGCGGGGAGCCGCCCGAGCACTGGCAGCCGTGAAGCTGATTGATGGGCGCCCGGCTCAATGAGGGGGCCCGGCCGGGGGAGGGGCGGGGCCGGCCCCGGCTGAGCCAGTGGCGGGTGCCGAGGGGGGGCGGAGGCTCCGTGGAAATGTGTCGGTGACATTGAATGGGGAGACCCAGCGCGAGCGAGGCGCGCGCGCGCACACCCGCGCACACCCGGCCAGGCTAGCTCAGAGATCCCCGGCCACGTAAGTAACTATTAATACCGCCTCGCCAGGAGATGCGGGCGTGCTGAGCTCCGGGATTGGCCTCGGGCAACGTCGGCCATCCCCCCCCCCCCTTCAATTTTAAATACACGTTCCTCTTACCTCCGAGGGGGAAGGAAACAAATACAAGAAGAGGAAGAAAAGCCGTCAATTGCCTCCCAAACCCACCCGACCAGGCAATTGGGTTTAGAATAGGGGGAGACCGAGTGGTTGCAAATTCTTCCAAAGCAAGATCCAGTTACCCAGCGGGAAAGGAGCGCCGCGGGTTGGCAGGGCTGGGGGCGCATCCCCTTCCAGCGCCCGGAGAATCCCCGGAAGCTTGGGCGGGGGAAATCGGAGACCATTGATCTACCCTGGTGCCTTTCCGCACTTCTCTCCCCCTTTTTTCAGAGGACGACCTGGAGCTCCAAAGAGCGGCGACAGCATGAGCCTGTGCTGACCTCCGGCCGGCCGGCCAGCCCTGAGCTTTGTCGCGGTACCTGCTCCCGGCCCGCGCCGCCACTCTTTTGCAATCTTTTGTTGGCAGCGCCGACCGCTCTAAGTTAAATGCTCTCTTGCTATTTCTTCTTCTCTTTTTTTTTGGTCTGTTTGTTTAATTTTGGGAGAGCTCTTGCGATCTTGGAAAAGCCTCAGACGCCATCTACAGTTAAATCGTAGATAACTACCCTCTCCGGCACCCCCTCCTTCCACGCCCCCCACCCTTTCCACCAAAAAAGGGGGTGCAGCGCGGATTCCGTCTGCCGAGCGGCGCGAGCCGGTAGACCTGTGCTGATTTCCTTTTTCTTTTTGTTGGGTTTCTAACGCGTGGAGAGCAAGCCGCCACCGTGCGCTCACCGAAGTCTGCACAAACTAGAGCAGGGCTTCTCCGCCCCGTCTGCAAGTCGGAAGCCTGCTCGGGGATCGCTCCGGGGGACCCGGCGCCGCAGCTCCCACTTTAGCCACCCGGCTCCTCGTCTAGATCCACGCTGGAAAGAGAGGGAGAGAGAGGAACTAAAAGTGCGGAGATTCCATACATCTCTGGCTGCTTTGGGGTAACAAAAGGACCCGAGCCGCTGCCGACCGAGTACCCCCGGGAACCGCGCTCGGAGCAGACCAGGTGCCCGCCGGCGCCCATCTGGGGCTTCTAACTCTCCGCGTAGCCCTCTTCCCGTCCCCTGGCCTCGCGTCCCCTTTTAAAATCCGTGGCTCGGAGGCGCCTGCCGCCGCGCTCGCCAGCGACTCATCCCTCCAGCGGGTTTTTTTTTGTTTTGTTTTGTTTGCTGTGTGCGCTCCCCACACTCATGAACATACACAGGTCTACCCCCATCACAATAGCGAGATATGGGAGATCGCGGAACAAAACCCAGGATTTCGAAGAGTTGTCGTCTATAAGGTCCGCCGAGCCCAGCCAGAGTTTCAGCCCGAACCTCGGCTCCCCGAGCCCGCCCGAGACTCCGAACTTGTCGCATTGCGTTTCTTGCATCGGGAAATACTTATTGTTGGAACCTCTGGAGGGAGACCACGTTTTTCGTGCAGTGCATCTGCACAGTGGAGAGGAGCTGGTGTGCAAGGTAAAGAGCCCGGGTTTTGTTGTGCTTTTTGCGTTTGAAAAAGATTCTCCGGCCGTTTGATGGGGTCGGGAGGTGGCCAAGCCCCGGAGTCTGGGGGCGGGAGGTTTTCCCGGATAATAACCCATGGCCTTGTTAAAGGGGTTTATTTATTTATTTGTTCGTGTGCGACTAGTTGTTGCGAAGTTTTTAGAGCGTTGCAGACAATGGGGCGGGCTGCGGCGGGGGCGTTTTGGGGAGAGCTCAGTACGGGGAGGGCGGCGGGACCGCGCGAGGGCCACGGACACGCGTTGCTCCCAGAGGCTCGTGGAGCTCTTCCGCGCGACGCCGGGTCCCGCAGCCCAGGGGATTTCTCCTGGTGCCTAGCCCCCTCCCCTTCCAACCCGGAGCAGGGGATGCCCCGCTCATTTCAAGGCGTTGATGAAGGTTCCTTTCGCAGCCATTGTTCTTGGCAGCGTGCAGGTGTTAAACCTTTGTTCCGAAGGTGCCCTTTAAAAAGAGACACAAAGGTGTCCCCTCTGGCAGAGCCTAGGGGCCCAGAGCGGGGAAGGAGTTTACCAAGAGCTCTCTTCTGTCCGGAGCCGTAAAAAGAAGGTGGTGGGTGAAAATCAAAGCCGCTTGCACACCTTTGGGTGCAGGAAATAGTGACTCCTCTGAGTCTTCTCTCGTGTTGGCTTCTTCCTATCCTCACACATCCGTGCTTGAACGCCTCTAGGCCCCCCGGCCCCCCGCCCCAACACACACCTCTGCCTGTAACGTTTGGAACCTCAAGAATACCGGTGCTAATGCAGCGAGGGGCACTGCGGCTCCTCTTAGTCTTTGACCCGGAACGCACCAGTGACTGGTTGTGTCTGTGTGTCTGTGCGTCTTTGTAGGTGCCCACAGGGCTCCAGACAACGGGATGAGCAGAATAGTTGCATAAATAGATAAATAAATAAACAAACAAACAAACAAATAAATAAAGCTTTAGACCACACCGCTACCCAGGAATTGGGTAGAGATCAAGAATTCATTGTTGCTTCATTTTCGATTTGCTCACTGTTTTTTTACCCCCGCCCAGGGGAGGGGGAAGGGGATCATCAGAAGTGGGGACCCCTGCTGTCTTTGAAATGGTCACTGCACAGCTGTGCTACCAATAATGCTTGCACCTTTGCCATGAGCCACAGACGGCCCTGTGGACTTGATTTCACAGGGGACTGGAGGATTGCATTGTAAAGCGTGGTTTTGTGGAAGTCTCCAGTCAGCTTTGCAGCTCCTCGGATCAGACCTCAGGGGAAAATAAGAGACTCTTAAATGCTGCTCTCTGCTTGTGGGGAGCATTTGGTATTTTGCATCTTCTCCAAGTTATTGATACCCACAGCAACCGTGCCTGGTTAACCAAAATTCAGTAGGCTATTCAGAGCTGGACTGAATTCTCAGAAGACCTACAACATTGCACAATAGGGTAGTCATCCTTTGAAATGAATGAGTTCCACAGAGCTGCCACTCTGCTATGAAATATGCACAATCACTCAGTGGTGAATGTTTTCACTCCTTTTGCTCTTCAGTGCAGCATTTTCATATTTTTCAAAGGCTGGAGATGCTTGTAAGTAAGGGGGGCTCTGCCACCAAATTCTGCAGGAGCATCTTGCTGTTATTTCTTTGTTTAAAAGCAGAGGTGACCCTGGCCCTTGCTCTTTTTTTCCCCCCTCAGGTCCTTCAAGACATATTTCACTTCGGGCTGACCTTACAGTGTCATTTGCAGACTTGCTCTCTGGCCTGAAACTGTACTTAATCTGCTGGTTTCGATACTGCAAAGATTGAATCAGCAGCCCCTCACCAATTACTGTGTAGCTGCCACTGGATTTAAGTGCTGTATCATTGTTCTGCTTGACAGAGGTCATCCCTTTAAGACACAGCAGCTTCTGTTTTCCTGCCTTTTTTTTTTTTTTTAAACCAGAGGTGATGTTAGTGACTGCTCATGCAAGCATAGTTGAATATATGCAAGGAAGCTCCAAGGGGTTTGGCAAGGCTGTTTCTGTGAACTAACTACCCTCAGAGGCACACGGCAGGCTCTTAGCTTCCAGTGAGACCTACACATCCATCAAGTTCCATTTGATGTCTTGGAATATAAAGTTCTTTTCTCCTAGCTCTGTGGTGACCCTAGGAAAAGGACTTTGCAAAAACAGATCAAATGGAAAGATGCCACTTAATACAGAGAACTGTATAGAGAATTCTATAGGAATGTTGTCTGTGTGTGGAGTGGTGGGGGATTTGAGAGTCATTTACCCAAAATGATCAAGGCTGTTTATTGTCTCCGTGCCTACTTGAAGCAAAGGGAGGGTGCTTTAAGGAGTCTTCAGTTTATGTTTTCATGGAAATGCTGGTAGCTGTGGTGCAGATGGACGCATTACTGTCTTGGCAGAATGGGCACCCCCACCCCCCCTTTCTTTTGGCAAATGCTATTAAAGATGGCCCAGTCTTACAGCTTTATCTGAACTGTCACATTATGTCATTATGTAACTGAGGCTCCAAATGAAACGTTCAAAAGCAGCTGGCAACCAGGCTTATGGCTTGATTTTGCACTTGAAGGTGATAGTTTAAATACCAATCCAAGCCCATAAATGCCTGTTACTGCTACTAATAAAAGCGAGGTTCCTACCCATTTGGGAAAATGTGAGCACTGGCTTCATTTTTCATGCTCTGTCCACCATCTTGGAATTTGGTCTCTTTACAAAGGGTATGGCTGGCTACACACTGACGCTGCTCTGAGTACCTTTGATTTTCTTTTTTAAATTCTGTGTCCATTCAGTGTTTCAGCAGCGGGGCAGGATAACAAACAAAAGGGGTTGAGCAAAAATTACTTTCTATGTTTCAAAGATGCACTTGAGGCAGGAAGTATATTACAAATGGTCACAGCTCCGTGGGCACGGGCCGGGGAGCCTTCAGCACGACGCTTCAGAACACGCGTGGCCATTATCATATAATGACGCAGAGTGTTTGCATTCTCCTCTGCACAGCGTTTGCGGCTCTCTGTGAGGTTTTTGAGCCTGTCCTGGGTCTCTGCTGCCTGCAGTATCACGGTTCAGGCAAGCATTTCAGATGCTTAATTGAATGGACCTCTGAGGTCACTGCGTGGAGGTCGTCCTTTGACAGGATCCGGGTGTGATTTGCCGTCTCTGGAGATGCTGAAGGACTCATTCTTAAATTCGAGGGCTTTCCTGAGATGCCTCATTATGGTTCATTCACAACGTTACTTGGCTTCCTCGCCCAGGGTTTTAGCACAGGCTCTTGCTCAC